TGCCAAATTGCATGCCGACTGCTCCTGCGCAAAGCGACGCAAAATGGCCAAAAGGGCACTCGCGAAACACATAAAACCTGCAGGGCACGCACGGCAAAGCGAAAGTGCCAAACAGCACGACTTTTGGCACTTTCCATTTGCTGCTGAACAAGGCGCAGGAAACATGCGGAAAAAAACAAGGGGGGCGCGAGACCGTTTGGCGCTTCAATATGGCGACAAGGGCGCACAGGAAACATGCAAAAAAGCCTGCTTTCGGAGTGGCAACCAGGGCACGTAGGAAACACGCAAAAGCAACATGGCAGGCACGCCAAAGAAAGTGCCAAATTGCATGAGTTCTGGCACTTTCTATGTAAACTGACTGCTCCTGCGCAAAGCGACGCAAAATGGCAAAAAGCACTTGCGAAACACATAAAACCTGCAGGGCATGCACGCCAAAGCGAAAGTGCCAAACAGCACGACTTTTGGCACTTTCCATCTGCTGCTGAACAAGGCGCAGGAAACATGCAAAAAAACAACAAGGTGGGCGCGAGACCGTTTGGCGGGGCAATATGGCGACAAGGGCGCGCAGGAAACATGCAAAAAAGCCTGCTTTCGGAGTGGCAACCAGGGCACGTAGGAAACACGCAAAAGCAACATGGCAGGCACGCCAAAGAAAGTGCCAAATTGCATGAGCTCTGGCACTTTCTATGTAAACCGACTGCTCCTGCACAAAGCGACGCAAAATTGCAAAAAGGGCACTCGCGAAACACATAAAACCTGCAGGGCATGCACGCCAAAGCGAAAGTGCCAAACAGCACGACTTTTGGCACTTTCCATCTGCTGCTGAACAAGGCGCAGGAAACATGCGAAAACCAACAAGGTGGGCGCGAGACCGCTTATGCCAGGCATGTGTTCATCAAGAGCCATTTAGAGATAGAAATCCATGCCCTTGGCGGGCAAACAAAAAACCAACAGGGAAGAAAACGGAAGTGCTGAATCGGGCGAGCTTTGACACTTCTATTCGAAACCGTGTTGACTGCGCAAAGCGGCACAAAATGGCAAGCGCGTGGACAGGCACGCAGCTCTTTTAGAAAGGTAGCCTGCGAAACACGTAGGGAAGCAAGGGTGGGGGTCTCACTACAGCCTGGCACAAAGCAAACAGCATGCTAATTCTTCCAAGATGCATTTGGAGCCACCACATGCGCATTCCACAGGCTTTGATCGTCGCCCAGCTTGGGCTTTGAGAGAGGTGCGACTTCAATGCCCGATGGACAATGGCAACCTCTAGCTTGCTGAGCACGTGTCGCAGTCTGTGCTGTGAGAACCGAGCTCCCATCGTAGCTGCCGTTTGCCTCCGCACGTAGCGCTCAGCCGCCACAAAACTCTCCGTCTGTGAGAAGATGTGCACCACGCCTGGCCACCAATCACGACTGATAAGGTAATTGCCTTGAATGTCGCCAACCAAACTGCATCCACCACTGCTGGCCCCAGCTGGCAGAGTCAGTCCATTTCCGTCCATGCGTTTTGCATTCAAAGCGATCTGATATGAGGCGAAAGCACCCTTGGCCCGTAACAGCTAAGCGGCTTTGGCGCTGGCCACACTTGCGCACCACGCAAAGCTGTGCATCCAGAGAGGCTGGGCATCGACTTGGCACACTCAAAGACTCCAGCCGCCGACAAGCGCAGTCTTGAATGATCTCCAGAACGGCCGGGGAAAGAGCATCATCTGAAGAACCATCCAGAGCAAGAGAGGCCGCCCCGTCGATGAACTCCTTCAGCGCCTTGGCAGGAGAGCCTCCCTCATCATGGGCTGCACTCTCGCAGCGAAGGAAGCACCGATGCGCCAGCTCCGACCTGCCCTGCGCCTGCCGCGGCCTGGAGTGAAGTTGGGAGCATTCTCCACAGGTATCTGGACGACAGAGCTCTTCAAAGGAATGCAAGCACGCCAGCAGCCACCATCCTGAGGGTGTAAGGAGCACTGCTTCTGAGCCGCCTCCGGGAAGGGATTACCCAGTTGAAAGGTGGACAACAATAGATGCTCTACACAAACCTTCAAAGTGGGCTTCTGTGGGCCCCTCTTGTAGCACTGAGCAGGGCTCATCCCCAGCCTTGGGTCTTCGGTGGAACTCGATGGCGTGGACCTTGCCTTTGTCAATGGCCCAAACACAACCAACGATAGAACTCGAGCCAGGCCACGCAAAGAAATCCCCAACCTGCAGCGCGCGCTCAGCTGAAGTCTTGCAGGCCTGCGCCCGCGCCGCCAAAAGGATAGAGCCAGGCGACACCCGTTCCAGTTCTTGAAGGTGTTGCCTGTGGGAGGCAAGCTTTTGGGATAGCTCTGCGTGTTGCAAGTCGGTGGGCAGGCATGCTGGCGGCGCACGCGTTACGCTGGACGTAGTCCGCCGCTTCTTCCTCGACCTGGCTGAAGCATCTGTGGGAAGGAGCTGCCGCTTGCGCGAGAGAGATCTTTCCGAACTCTGACATGAGTGATGCACTGCCCGGTGCAGGGCATCAAACCGTCCGCCACACAACTTACATCTCCACATTGCACCCTCCGCAAGATGCTCCACCATCTCAGCTTGCGCCCGCAATGCATCCCTTTGGCTCCAATGCAAGGAGTGCAGCTCTTTGTGTCGCGCTAAAACTCGCCTCCAATTTTTGTCGGCGCGGTCAACGCTGAAAGACCAGCCTTCGCACCGCCCGAAACAGTGCTGCGTAGGAAGTGCCCGACAGGGCAGTTGCAAGCAAGCCACCGTGCACGCGGCTGCCATGCCGAGGCAAAACAAGCTTCCTAATCATCATCATAGGCCAGCAGGGGCTTCCTTTCAGGGGCTTCCTTTCAGGGGCTTCGGGTATTTAGCTCAATGTCTTGACCTGGTCAATAATTGCTTGGGGCTTGGCTTGCAAGATGAATCTCAAGGAGGTATATACTCGGACCAAAAATGAGCGGCGGGGCTTTGCAACAACCTGATCCAGTGGTTTTTAGCATCTTGCAAACCAAGCCCCAAGCAATAGCTTTAGAGAGTCACGGGGTTGGCGTGTTTTACTAGCTTGGCAGCATGACTTGCAGGTGTTGCCTTCATAGGCATTTTGCAGGGCATCCAGCAGGGCATGTCGCACGTGCTAGTACAAGGTGCGGATTTTTATTTTGTTGAAGGGTAACATCTGGGATTTGGCTAGGCCTAGCGAAGGAAAAAGGCACTTCAAACTGCTCATAAGCACCTGCATGTCATGCCGCAGAGCCAGCAAAGCACGCCAATCCCGTGACTCTCTGAAGGGCTTTGTTTGCAGGATGAGTCTCAAGGAGGCATATACTCTGAGGAGCAAAACAAAGATAATCATTGGCAGCGGTCCCGACCGACAACCACCAATCACAAGAAGGATGCCGAGCCCCGGACAGCTGGCTAAAGGACAAATCGCTCAAGCAGTCCGAAAAGTCGAAAGGTCGAAAAGTCAAAAAGCAGAGTCTAAAGTTAATGGAGAACGCAAAAAGTCTCAAAAAGTCAAAATCCGAAAAGTCGCGAAAAATCGAACATTCGAAAAGTATCGAAAAGTCGCGAAAAGTCGCGAAAAGTCTAGAACGTGCAAAGTCGAGAAGTCGGACAAGTCAGAAGAATCACACTCGCCAAGGTGAAAGTGCTCCATCTCGCGACTGATTGACGTATACTGAAGTCCTTGCTTTTTTCCCGAGCAAAAGAAACCGGGGATCATCAATCGCGAAAAGTCGAAAAGTCGAAAAGTCGAAAACTTTTTGACTTTTTGTTATTTTCGAAAAGTATACACTGTTCTCGTTGCGTACAATGTCTCGCGGGGTAAGGACTTAGCCCCCCACCCCCCCTCCCCCCCTCCCTCTCCCCCCCCCCCTCCCCCCCCCCCCACCCCCACCCCCCTTCTCCCCACTACCTCCCCCCCCCCCCCTCTCCCCCTCTCCTTCCCCCAGTCGTAGTCTTCCGTAGTGTTCCGGCTTCTTCCCGTAATCTTCCGTAGTCTTCCGGCTTCTTCCAGTAATCTTCCGTAATCTTTCGGCTTCTTCCAGTAGTCTTCCGTAGTCTTCCGGCTTCTTCCCGTAATCTTCCGTAATCTTTCGGCTTCTTCCAGTAGTCCTCCGTAGTCTTCCGGCTTCTTCCCGTAATCTTCCGTAGTCTTCCGTAGTCTTCCGGCGTCTTCCCGTAGTCTTCCGAAATCTTTCAAGCTTCTTCCCGTAAATTTCCGCAATCTTTCGGCTTCTTCCCGTAGTCTTCCGTAATCTTCCGGCTTCTTCTCCTAGTCTTCCGATACTGTTTCGGGACCAAACAACGCGCGTGTCCTGTGCTTTCGGGCTTCTTCCCTAGGCTTCGGGTAGTCCCCCCCCACCCCTCCGCCCCCCCCTGTGTCTGTCTATGTCTGTCTACGTATCTGCATCTGTCTTCGTGTCCGCGAAGACCCCCCCTGCCCCTGCGTGTCTGTCTGTGTCTCTGTGTGTCTGTCTGGGTCTGTCTGCGTCTGTCTTCGTGTCCGCGAAGACCCCTTGCGTGTCTGTCTCTGTCTCTTTGTGTCTGTCTGTGTCTGTCTGTGTCTGTCTACGTATCTGCGTCTTTCTTCGTGTCCCCCCCCCCGCGTGTCTTTGTGTCTGTCTGGCTCTGTCTGCGTCTGCCTGCGCATCTGCGTCTGTCTTCGTGTCCGCGAAGACCCTCCCCCCCCGCTGCGTGTCGGTCTGCGTGTCTTTGTGTCTGTCTGTGTCTGTCTACATATCGCGTGCTTTCTCTCGTCCCGGGCCGAAATTCTAAGGTGTGTGGGGGCGGCGGAACCAGGCCGCAGGCCATTAAATAGGGGCACACAAAATGGTGTTTGATTGTTTGTTTTTCCTTTTTTTTTCCCCCGCTTCACTAAATCTGTTGTTGGGTCGACCTCTTGAAATCAGCCTAGAGTGCTGCCGAAGGGAAGGTGCCGGGCGACCAAACAGCACCACGCAACACGCTTTGCGGCCAAAACTTCTTGTGCGGGCCATGGTCACCCACCACTCACTTTTTTGTTCAGGGCACGGCAGCTGCGCAGCGGCACCAGCATGGCAAAGGGCAGCACCAGCTGCTCCAGGAAAGTCAGCGCCACCTGCAATCCCTGAACCACTCCCCTCCTCGCGGCCCCACCCACCTGACAAAGAGTTGGAGCCAGGCGTATGCGCAAAAACAGGAGAAGGCAGCTGGAAGTTCAAAGCCGTTGGAAGCATTTCAGAGCCAGGCCTCGATCTGGTGGAAGTTCTCGGGCAAATGATGCATGTACCTGCATTGGCCAGACCCCGCGAGATTCCTCAAAAAAAGCAGCCCTGCGAGGTTTGGGTTGGCAAGTCACCTGCTCCTGCCAAAAAACCGGGCAGCCGCACAAAGATTTAGATGCGCAAATGAACTGCTCGGTCTGACCCCTGTGTTCCATGAGACCTTCACCCCTGAGATCTTCAGTCTTGAGACTGTCTTTCCACACCACTTGGCTGATCCTTCCCCTCAAAGTGCAAACTGCATCCAGAAAAGAAACCATAGGCACAAGGTCAGATTTGTTGCTCATATTCTCAGGGAAAGCTTGCGACAAACTCAGATTGTGCCCCCCCACTCCTAATTGACGGGTGAATCGGGCAACTCGGACCAAGGCCGCGACCATGACAAGGGGTTGGGGATGGGCTGGGTGAAGTAGTGCCTTGCAATGCGCATGCACAGGGTCTGGTCATGCTCGGGCTAACTCGTCATAGATTGTGTTGTATGCTTCGCGTGCGGGCCAGAACGTTCGGATTCTGTGTGTGGCCAACCTTCTGCATCCAAGAACTTTAAAAAGCAAAAGCTTGGTGGGTGGAAGCTTCCCCTCCTACGCTTTCAACACCCCCCGCATCACCAGTGGGCTGCTGGTTGCCTGGGTGTTTACGTCTGATTAATACTCCCCACCAGGTCCACAAGTCCGGACAAAAAGATTTTGAGTTATGCTCCTGTCTGGCCAGCAGGACAGCAGTGCAAAAGGAACCTGCATTTTTCCCGGGCTGGCGGCTAGCAGTACCAGGATGATTTAAAAGGGGCACCCTTTTGTGAGCTGAGTCAGACCATGTGTTTACAGCTAAAATCCTATAAGACAATTGCTGTTTCTGGTTGCAGTTCTTTTGGCTGGGGGCTCCGGCTACGTTTCTAATGATTGTTTGTCGGCGTTTGTTTGGGGATTGTGTGTTTTCCTTTGGACACTTGTTTGTGGCTTTGCAGCGCTGTTGTCACTCCTGCTGGTAAACCCACCCCAACCCTACCCGAAAGCCCGGAAACAAACGAAACCCTTAACCCAACTCCAAGCCCGCCATAAATTTACTTTGCAAAATCCAGAGCCAGCCCGAAACGCACCCCGCATTGACCCTGATGATAAACCACCCTGTAGTAACAACTGTCATCTTCCTCCCGGCTTCCGATTGCCAGCCAATTTTTGCCCAAAAAGACACCTGAGTCCTTTTTCTTGGCCCCAAAATGCCCAAAAAAAGCAATAATAATAATAAAGTATTTGTGACAAAAACCATTGCCTGTGCTTTTTACCAATTCCAATTCCCTCGTTCCGCCGTCGGCTTGCCTTTGGAAGGCTCTAAAGTACTTGCAGTTGCCACAAAGCAAGTGCACAACAACTTGGATACTCATGTAGCCAGGCTGCTAAGAGTTGAAACACCGGACGCAGTTGTACTGGCACAGAAAAGTGGTGTGAAATACCTTTGCCTTAAAGTATGCAGTAATTGCATGCGTTTGGACGCGGTGACTCAATGCGGAAAAACGTAGCAATGATTGGACATCTGCCCAGGCATGCGCAAAGAGCGTCTGCCTGTGAGCAGAAAGCCTCAAAAGGCTGACGCTGGCTTGGCAGAAAGGTCTGAGGTCGCAGCAAGCAGCCTGGCAAACTGAGCCTTTTATGACCTTGTTTGCACCTTGCTAATTTGTGTAGCCAAGCTTTGCGATCCTTGGCGATCAGTGCGAATACCAATTTCAGGTCAACTCGGCTCAAAAGGTCGCCTGAAGAAACCCCTTCCAAAGGAGTTCCGACCTGGGCCTCCCCGCGTCTCAGTACAGGTGAGCTGGCGCCAGCATGCGCTGCTGTTGCGGCCCACCTGAAGGGATGCAGACTTCAATAAAAAACCAAAAGACAAAACACCATACTGAGCCCCCCCTCTTTTACCATGCTCAAAGAATCGGAACTGCCCTGAACTTGCTGAAATCCAACAGTCACCTTGCGCAATTGTGAGACGGTGACTGGAAATCCATGTCGCACGTGGAGCCTGTTTGGCCGTTCCCGGCCTGCCGGCCTTGGACATCCCCGCGCCCAGCAGGAGGCGGAAAGCGCACCACCGCACCAGCCACAGCACCATCCTGGTGGCCCCCTAGAAAGGTGCCAACGCGGGATCATGGCAACAACTTCCAGTGCCACCAAGCAGGCCAAGTCCCGCCTAGACGGAGGGGTCCAAGAGCTGAAGCGGCCACCCAGCAGCGGGCAAAGGAAGATAACCAAGAAGCCGACCTGAGCCATCCGAAGGCTGCTCACAGGGAAGCAACACAAGATGGCCGGCCCTGAAAAACGGACAAAGGAGCCCCATGTTCCGATTCCTCCCTGTGAGCCACCAGCAACCATCCAATCTCCAATGACAACTCACTGCAGATATCGGAGTTTTTCAAAACCCCCTTTTGGCATAGTTCTGGAGAGATACGAAAAACATGGAAACCGACCAGCTGGAGTAGCTCGTCGACCGGGCCTCGCAGGTGAGCCACTCCCAGCCATAGCTGAAGGTGAAGGGCGCCTCGCTATCGACAGCGAGCCGGAAGTTCTTGGCGAGAAAACAAGAAAACCCACCGGTCACCGGCCGCTGACACGCGCCTGGAGGTTCACAATGGAGAGGTACGCAGCCCATAAGAAAGCAGGCACAAACCTGAGAATTTTGGGCAGGAACTGATCTTCAGATTGCCAATCGTCGCCAGAGTGTCCATGAGGCCTGCTTGAAGAGAGCTAGAAGCTGTCAGGCTTTGAGGCCAGACTAACTGTGTCACCAGTGACGAAGGACACGTTTTGCATTCAGCCTCACGATTCGCTGTTCTCCTTTCAAAACTTACGGCCATACTTAATTCAGGTCAGAGTGTGTGTGTGTGTGTGTGTGTGTGTGCGTGTGCGTGCGCGTGTGCGTGTGAGTGTGCGTGTGCGTGTGCGTGTGCGTGTGCGTGTGCGTGTAAGTGTGCGTGTGCGTGTGCGTGCGCGTGTGCGTGTGCGTGTGCGTGCGCGTGTGAATGTGCGTGCGCGTGCGCGTGTGCGTGTGCGTGTGCGTGTGTGCGTGTGTGCGTGTGTGCGTGTGCGCGTGTGCGCGTGTGCGTGTGCGTGTGTGCGTGTGCCTGTGCGTGTGTGCGTGTGCGTGTGTGCGTGTGCGTGTGCGCGCGTGTGCGCGTGTGCGTGTGTGCGTGTGTGCGTGTGTGCGTGTGTGCGTGTGTGCGTGTGTGCGGGTGTGCGGGTGTGCGGGTGTGTGCGTGTGTGCGTGTGTGCGTGTGTGCGTGTGTGCGTGTGTGCGTGTGTGCGTGTGTGCGTGTGTGCGTGTTTGCGTGTGTGCGTGTGTGCGTGTGTGCGTGTGTGCGTGTGTGCGTGTGTGCGTGTGTGCGTGTGTGCGTGTGTGCGTGTGTGCGTGTGTGCGTGTGTGCGTGTGTGCGTGTGTGCGTGTGTGCGTGGGTGCGTGGGTGCGTGGGTGCGTGGTTGCGTGTGTGCGTGGGTGCGTGTGTGCGTGTGTGCGTGTGTGCGTGTGTGCGTGTGTGCGTGGGCGCGTGTGTGCGTGGGTGCGTGTGTGCGTGTGTGTGTGTGTGTGTGTGTGCGAGCAGTGCTATGCGTGCAAGGTGCAAGCGTGCAAGCGTGCTATGCGTTGCGTAGCGGTGCAGTGGTTGTGCGTTGCGTCGCGTTTATTGCAGGGCCTTGCGTGCGTGCGTGGCGTGCGTGCGTGCGTGCGTGCGTGCGTGCGTGCGTGCGTGCGTGCGTGCGTGCGTGCGTGCGTGCGTGCGTGCGTGCGTGCGTGCGTGCGTGGGTGGGTGGGTGGGTGGGTGGGTGGGTGGGTGGGTGGGTGGGTGGGTGGGTGGGTGGGTGGGGGTGTGTGTGTGTGTCCTTAGCCATAAACTCTCCCCAACGGCCACAGCCTGCAGGCGTGCCCCGTGCGATTAGCGTCAACTGGAAAAATGAGACCAATTTTCCCTTGCGCCACCAAAAAAACAACACCTCTCAATACAACATACTTCGGGAGTGGATCCCGACGCGCAACCTGTCACTTCCCTCTGAGCGCGTGGCAAGCTCTGCACTCGGCCCACCATAAGCTGCACCGAGAAACTGACGCCCAGCCAGCTCACCAACCTCAGCCGAGGTGAAAGGCGACGCGGTGAGAAATAAACCCCACTCCACTCCCCCTTTAAATCTCATCCCAAGACACAAAACTACAAAAGAGGTACCCGGAAAAGAAAAAAAAGGAGAAACAAAAAACACTTAAATCGACCCAGAACAAAAAGAGGTTGAACCCTTTGTAGAAAGGTTTTGCTGGTCTGCAATTGGAGGGTCGCTCCGCTTGCGCCTGTGTGCCGATGATGTGTCGTGCGCTCGTTGTGCGCTTAGCCCCGTGTAGGTTTGTTTCAAAAGGAGAGACACAAAAGAGACAAGAGACAAACCCATAAGCCACAAATCACATCTTCCAGGTGGCTCCAGCTGCCAATCCCCATAGCCCCAGCCCAGACTGTCGAAAAGGTCAAAGACTGGCGTGGGCCGCCGCCCAGTCCTGGCCCACTCCGAGCCCAGTCACCCCTCTCACCTACAAGTGACTCTGGATATGTGTTTCTCACATTTGGGGGGCCTCTTTCTTGGTGGAGTCAATGAGAAACCACTTGAGCGGGTGGATGAAAGCTAGCCAGTGTAATCCGCCGACCCCCCTGCCTGCAAGGGGAAGGCGCTGGGGGAGTGTTCGTTTAGCGTTGGAGCGTGACTGTGGCAGCCTTCTCCCTTCCCTTTCGCCCTCGCCCGTTCAGCCCTGTACCTTACCAGCCTTCTTTCTTTCCCTTTTTTCTTGTTCTTCTTCGCTTCTTTTCTTTCCTTTTCCTTTCTGCTGCCGGCGCACTCCTTTGGTTGGTGCGAGCGCGGCCTGGAAAAGCGCGGGAAGCGAAGCTTTTGTGGCTGGCCGCTCCCTCTGGACCGATAGCCTTACTGCATATTGGACTCAAACGCGACGTTAGGCACCCGGCTGTGGTGGAGCAGGCTGCCGGCGCGCTCCTTTGGTTCGTGCTCGCTGCGGCGAAGCGAGTGCGGCCTCCAAGCGCGCTGGACGCGAAGCTGTTCTTGCTGGTTGCGCCCTGGGGACCGATAGCTTTCTACTTTCTATATAGGATTCAAAAGTGACGTTCGGCACCCGGCCGCGGCGGAGCAGCCGCCCTTGGCAAGACGCACAGCAAACCCAAAGGGAGAAAGACCAGAAATAGGCAAACTGTGACAGACGCAGGCGCACATGGGCATGGACAGGCCGGGGATTGAACCCGGCCCCTCTCGCATGCTGAGCGGGTGTGATGCAACTGCCCCTGAGCTGAGGAGGCCGAGAGCGCTCAACTACCTGCTGGGCACAGCTTTCAGCGCTGAAGCTCTGTCACGGCCAGCCCGTTCGGCCTGTTTTCTTCCTATCTGCTGCCAGCGCACTCCTTTGGTTGGTGCTCGCTGTGGGCAAACGAGTGCGGCCTGGAAAAGCGCTCAAGCACCTGCAGGGCACAGTTTTCAGCGCTG